AAGAACAACGTAAAATTTTACGTTTACAAGAACATGATATCCATTAACGGCAGAGATAGTGTGTGAGAGAGATCATTAACAGTACACCGCACAACAAATATGAAAGAGTATTTGAGAGGCTAACACTGTTTTCGCCTTGCTCCACAACAGTAGTAGAGATCCCTTATTGTCATTTCTCACAACCTAACTGCAATAACAGCATGCACGTACACAACACAAAGAACAATGGAGAGCCGGTTCCCCCATATTGTTATTTGAAGTTCAGAACACAGCATGCACCCACAACAATGAGATGTCTCAAGCACAATTTAATTCGTGTGTTTTTTACATCATTTATACATTTTTTATGTCATGCCAATATATTACAATTTCATTCACTTTTTTCTTTCGGTTGCAAACACAATAGTGAATATTTACATCTTCTTTCCGCTTAAATAGGTTGTCAACAAACTTTTTTCTAGACGGCTTTGCCAGTTGTCGTTAGAAGAGAGAACATTTATTTTGATATCATCTTCATTTTTTGGCGCACTGTTTCATCCACAATATTCACACTGCGTTTTCTTATGTTTTTATTTACTTTCTTTGATATTATTTTGTTCATTGGACACAAATTTTCAATTTTATTCACATTTCATATTGGAAAGTCGTTATCATTTGCAAATAATTTAGTTTTTAAACACGTCTAAAGATCTTTATGCCTTTTTCCGGTGAAATGAATTTGACAACTGACTTTTTGACAGAGAGCCTTAGAAAGGGGTTGCCAAGTATAGTAATATAAAAGGAGTAACGAGGGTATTTACTATTGCAGGTAATATTATTTGAAACATGAAGCACGTATTAAAGCCACTTAAACAACTAAACTTGTAAATCCTTTGTATATCTAATAAATTAATGAAATACCCTATGTATGTATATTCTGTCGTTTATTAATTTTTTTGTGATGATTTTTGTCAGGAAAATGGCAGTGTAGTATATTTTCTTAGGAACAAGTCTAGTTTAGGGGCTCCACTCGGATCGCTTTGAAATTTTTACCGTAAGTAGTCCTCGTTGAGCTGATTACAGTGATATATATTTTATGTGGGGGAAATGCATACTTCCCGAGATATGGGCCTTGAAATTTCGGAGCATATCTTGATTAAAACGGCCGTTTTAGTAATGCCACAAAGGCAATATGGGTATCATTTTAAAGCTTACAACGAATGCGCATACAAATCAAAATTTAAGGTTTTTTAAGAAGCCGGCCTTCGGCCGGGGCTTAAGACTATCACTACGCTACGCAATCCAAATTCTTTTTTAAGAGCAATTTCCAAATCAAATTTAGGTTTTTTTTAAGTAGCCGGCCTTCGGCCGGGGCTTAAAACTTTCACCTATGGACAGGCGCACTCATGGCTACGCAATCCAAATCCTTTTTTAAGAGCAATTTTCAAATCAAATTCAAGGTTTTTTAAGTAGCCGGCCTTCGGCCGGGGCTTAAGACTTTCACCTATGGACAGACGCATAGATGGCTACGCAATCCAAATCCTTTTTTAAGAGCAATTTCCAAATCAAATTTAGGTTTTTTTTACGTAGCCGGCCTTCGGCCGGGGCTTAAGACTTTCACCTATGGACAGGCGCATACATGGCTACGCAATCAAAATAATTTTTTTAAGAGCAATTTTCAAATCAAATTTAAGGTTTTTTATGTAGCCGGCCTTCGGCCGGGGCTTAAGACTTTCACCTATGGACAGGCGCATACATGACTACGCAATCCAAATCCTTTTTTAAGAGCAATTTTCAAATCAAATTCAAGGTTTTTTAAGTAGCAGGCCTTCGGCCGGGCCTTAAGACTTTCACCTATGGACAGACGCATACATGGCTACGCAATCCAAATCCTTTTTTAAGAGCAATTTTCAAATCAAATTCAAGGTTTTTTAAGTAGCCTGCCTTTGGCCGGGTCTTAAGACTTTCACCTATGGACAGACGCATACATGGCTACGCAATCCAAATTCTTTTTTAAGAGCAATTTCCAAATCAAATTTAGGTTTTTTTTAAGTAGCCGGCCTTCGGCCGGGGCTTAAAACTTTCACCTATGGACAGGCGCACTCATGGCTACGCAATCCAAATCCTTTTTTAAGAGCAATTTTCAAATCAAATTCAAGGTTTTTTAAGTAGCCGGCCTTCGGCCGGGGCTTAAGACTTTCACCTATGGGCAGACGCATACATGGCTACGCAATCCAAATCCTTTTTTAAGAGCAATTTCCAAATCAAATTTAGGTTTTTTTTACGTAGCCGGCCTTCGGCCGGGTCTTAAGACTTTCACCTATGGACAGGCGCATACATGGCTACGCAATCAAAATCCTTTTTTAAGAGCAATTTTCAAATCAAATTTAAGGTTTTTTATGTAGCCGGCCTTCGGCCGGGGCTTAAGACTTTCACCTATGGACAGGCGCATACATGACTACGCAATCCAAATCCTTTTTTAAGAGCAATTTTCAAATCAAATTCAAGGTTTTTTAAGTAGCCGGCCTTCGGCCGGGGCTTAAGACTTTCACCTATGGACAGACGCATACATGGCTACGCAATCCAAAGCCTTTTTTAAGAGCAATTTTCAAATCAAATTCAAGGTTTTTTAAGTAGCCGGCCTTCGGCCGGGGCTTAAGACTTTCACCTATGGACAGGCGCATACATGGCTACGCAATCCAAATGTTTTTTCTTTCAATTTTAGTTAATATTATATAATTTACAATGATATACTATATTTATTTTTAAAGCACTATTCAAACCCTTTAAAATGATACCCATATTGCTTTGGTGGCATTAGTAAAACGGCCGTTTTAACCAAGGTATATTCCAAACTTTCAAGGCCCATACCTCGGGAAGTATGCATTTCCCCCACATAAAATATATATCACTGTAATCAGCACAACGAGGACTACTTACGGTAAAAATTTCAAAGCGATCCGGGTGGAGCCCCTAAACTAGACTTAAGCCATTTTCTTATATATTCATTTATTTCCGTTGGATTTTTATACATTAAATATTATATTTAAATTTTTCTTTTGATTTGACTGTGGGAGAGCCGGCTCCCCCATATTGCCATTTGAAGCTCACAACACGACAGTTTGCGTCAACACCTACAAACAAACAGCACAACACTATGAGATTTCCTAAGCACAATTTGATTAATGAATTTCAATGCCATTTACTTTTTAAAATATTTTTGTTCTTATACCAATATATTACACTTTTATTAACTTTTTTCGTTGATATTTATTTTTATTTCGCTAGAATATGGTAGCATACACGATCGGTAATATTTACATGTTCTTCCCGCTTTAATTGATTGTAAACTGACATTTATAAAGAGAGCTTTGAGAGTTGTCGTTAGAAGAGAGAACATTTACTTTGGCACCATTTCACAATTTCATTCACAATATTCAATCATTGTTTTCTTATGTTATAATTATTTATCTTATATTTCTTCGATGTTATTTTGTTCTTTGGACACAAAATTACAAATTTTTTTCACTTTTCTTATTGGAAAACATATTTGTTTGCACATAATTCTGGTTGGAAACACGATTGAAAAATCTTTGACTTTTTTCGGTGAAAGGAGTTTGACAACTGACTTTTTGTGAGAGAGCAAAGAGTTGCCAAATGTAAAGGGAGTAATGAGGGTAATTACTATTGTGGGTGATATTATTTACATTAAACGAAGAAACACAAATTAGAAACCACGCAATATTAATATGTATGATTTCTTATTGGATATCCTTCATAGATTAATTAACACTATTAATTGTCTTGCATTATTACGGTGGAATACGTTTTGCCAACCAAGAGAACTTTGACAGTTATCATATGATGATAGCACATTTCTTCGGCTTATTCATTTCTTTTTTGACGCTCTATTGCATTTTTCTTAAATAAACGTTTTTCTGATGTTTTACACAATTTTGTAATCATTTCTTTTATTTGGTAGGACACATAATTTTGTTATATAAACTTTCTATCAAAAAATACAGTTTAATGACGGAAAAATCGATTAAAAACACGATCGAACATTTCCACGTCTTTCGCCGGTAAAAAGGAATTTCTCAACTGACATTTCTCAAAGAGCAATAGAAAGAAGTTGCCACATGCATTAATAATGAGGATATTTTCTATTGCGGTGATATTATTAAAAATGACGGTGAAAACTTTTCAATTCATATTTATTTCTATTGGAAATCCTTTTTCTAGATAATAAATAAATTATAGAGGCTCCAATTTAAATTACAAAGAATTTGAACATTTGTTCGTGTAAATAACCGATTAAATTCAACTGGTATGCTACTGAATGTTGTACAAATTATTGGGAAATTTGCGAGGATTTTAAAGGGCAAAAATACAACAATATTTAAGGCTCCAACAATTCTGTTCTTTAATTTTGCCCTCCATTGCTAATTTGGAATTCATTTAATAACTATAGGTAGCTTAACATATGATAAGAAAGCAAAAGTGTATTAAATCCCCACATGCTAATGCCTACACTAATGTAAAATGTTGTAATTTGAAGATGGACGGACGACCACATCTCACTAGCCAGTTCATCATGGTATGGTGGTTCTAGATTCTAGACTTCATTCATTACAAGCTTTTGCGACCTCTCATACACACACACGCACACACTTATAGTTCCCTAAGAACATGTTTGTTTGAAGTATAATTATTCTGTTTATTTTACAAAAAAATCTTAAATTTTATTTAACAAAAAAAGTATGTTTATGTGATTTCTTTATAATTACAAGAACTTTGAAATAATTTAACAAAACGAAATACATGCTAAATTTATTTAACACATGTCTATTGCCTAGAAACCTAAGAAGAATATAAACTATAATCGGGATCGTTACTTGCTTAATTATGATGTAGAAAAACAAACACACAAAAAATGCTATCCCCATTTTAGCATGGGGAATTAATAGTGATTGAATGAGTAGGAAGAAAAAAGGAAATGCTAACTGCGACTAGTTGTCCAATTACAACAACTTTTCAATCCATTCCTTTAAGTCACTGAATTCACCATCCTTTGCTGAACCTTCATAGAATTGTATGTTCTGTTGCAGGTGGGACCATTCAAACTCTTTGCCTGGTTTACCCAAATATAAGGGTTTGCTGGCATCATCATCTGAGGTGGATTGCAGTTTACGACTGCGTGTGTCACGTACTAAATTTCTGTTGAAATAAAGAAATAAGAGTGGTATTATTAACGATTTGAATTTGAAATTCATGTTTTAAAACTTACAATTCCTTTTCCAAGGAAGTCTTGATAACTTCTACACTCTTTGCTGTGGTGGAATCTTGTTTATTGCAAAATACACATATTCTGCATGGCGCTGTGGCGGCATCGGTAAGTATGGAATATAGGGCACTAAGGGTTGGATTTAAAACAAAAAATGAATGAAATAAATTTACTCATTAATATTCAATAGTATCATTTTTGTTGTTGTTGTTTTAACTTACTCGGCCACATCACGTATTTCTTTTTGTACTGTCACTGAATCCACAACAAAGGCAATACCTTTAGCTGTACGCTTGTACTTTTCAAACGATTTATCACGTACTCTATAATGACCAGGAATATCAATTATTCTACTGCTTAAGTTGCCCTTTTTGTAGGTGCCCACATTTTCCGACATCGAGGTGAAAGTCTCGGGGAATTGATTATATAGAACTTGCATAAATAATGCACTTTTACCAGCCTCACTGATGCCGCTCAACAGGATATCACGTCTGGCTGAGGTTTTCTTGCGGAAAATGACGAACAATGCTGCGAAGATATAATTGGAGCGGTTTATTTATAAACATTTTTTTGTTAAACATCACTTTTATGACTTACCCACGGCAATAAAGCCCACAATTAATGCCACCAAAATAGGTGTCATATTTACTTCTGTCAATTTAATGGGCTCTCCCCGATGTGTGGCCCTCTGTGTCTTCTCCATGGCGTGTTAATTTGTTTCAGCAAATTTATTTCAAACCCGAATTCTTAGCAAAAATAAACTAAAAAATATTAAAGACGCATTCCACCTTCCCTACTATTGACGATTGTACAACGAAGAACAAGCATTTGACGTTTAACGTCATCAATTGTTAAATGATTACCCGTTACCGTGTGTTTGGTAATCATATGGCATAATACATGACATTGTCATTGAGAGGGTTGCCAGATTCGTGGGGATTTTAAGTACGTGTGGATATTTTTGAGAAAATAACTACAATTAAATAAAAATGATTTTAATTTAGAAGAAACGTTTAGGGGCCAAGTTTGTATAAATTTTATTACACTTTTACCAGGCGGATTCATATCTTTGAAAAAAAAAACGAAATACAATTAAATGCTGATAGAACATTTAAAATGCGAGTGAAAGTGGTTTAAGTCGATTTTAGTCTCTGATAAAAAATCTTGGCTTTTCATGTTTAAGCTCTCAAACAAACAAAATTTATACTATTTAATAATATTTTAGAAACAAATGAAACACAACCCTTTAAATATCCCAATGTTAGAAATAATGAACTTCAGCCACTTTCAAAATAAACGACCCATATTTCAAATAGGCCGGGAGCTTTATAATACTGGGAGTATGTCAAAAACAGATGTCGAAATGACCACATGTAGCTAGATAAAAAAGAAAATGTATCTAGGACAAAAATACTTAAAATGAGCGGGTTATAGTACGTTTACATTACATTTCGTTTACCCAGTTAATTTAAATTGTCAATTTCATTGCATATATGTCAAATAAATCCTTATAAATTAGGTTAACCCGGTAGAAAGTGAGTGTAATAAGTATTTTGCCTCAATACAAATTTGAAAAATTTCTAATATATACGCCTAAAGCCATCATACTAAAGATGCAAAATGAATTATGTATGATAGGATATATTTGTAGACATATTTAGATCTTATTTCTGCAAGAATCACTGCGAAAGACCTATTGGTCTCGAAGATATCGGCCAAAATCTATACCATCCCAAAAATGATTATCACAAAAAAGTATTTTGCTTTTTATTATCATTTTTGAAAAAATCATTATATATCACAAGCATTGTCTTTTTATAGTTACCATTGCGGGTAACCACATACTAAAAACGATTAGGCGACGATTCCAATAAACCACGGCATTTTTTCGCGAATATTTTCTCATAATTTACGTTCAATACATTCTCTAGCAATTTTTCGTTTAATATATGGTAATTTCTCGTCCTAATCTCAAAATGAGAGTATTAGATATGGTCGTCGCGGCTTCAAAACATCCCAAATAACTTTAGAATAATAAAAAAGAGGTTTTGCAAAATATATCGCGAGGACAGGGCCCTAAAAACTATTAAAACCAAAATCCGACAAACAAATTATTAAAAAAAATATCGCGAAATCCCATTTTTCAGACTTTGAAAACTTTATGGTCCATTAATATTGATCTTGGAACCAGTATATGCGATGAAAATAGCAATAAAAAGGTCAGATTCTAAGATATGAACGGTTTTGTGACAATAGAAATACAGCAAATTTCGAAAATAAATAGATCGACCAGTTTATTCACTGATGCATTTTATTCGCAACTGATGGTGTTAAACGGATGTAAAATATTGACTGCGTATTCGTCACCAGCTACCACAGTTTTCTAAAACGCAATACTATTTGACGAAGAATGATGTTTTCTCCCAACTTCATGTAATGCTTGTAGTTTCTGTTGTTTTAGAACTGTTCATTTCTTTGAATCTGACCACCTTATTGCTATTTTCATCGCATATATTGGTTCGTAGATCAATATTAATGAACCATAAAGTTTACAAAGTCAGAAAAATGGGGTTTCGCGATATTTTTTTTTAAATAATTTGTTTGTCGGATTTTGGTTTTAATAGTTTTTAGGGTCCTGTCCTCGCGATATATTTTGCAAAACCTCCTTTTTATTATTCTAAAGTTATTTGGGATGTTTTGAAGCCGCGACGACCATATCTAATACTCTCATTTTGAGATTAGGACGAGAAATTACCATATATTAAATGAAAAAATGCTGGAGAATGTATTGAACGTAAATGTGAGAAAATATTCGCGAAAAAATGCCGTGGTTTATTGGAATCGTCGCCTAATCGCTTTTAGTATGTGGTTACCCGCAATGGTAACTATAAAAAAAGACAAAGCGTGTATTATACAATGATTTTTTCAAAAATGATAATAAAAAGCAAAATACTTTTTTGTGATAATCATTTTTGGGTTGGTATAGATTTTTGCCGATATCTTCGAGACCAATAGGTCTTTCGCAGTGATTCTTGCAGAAATAAGATCTAAATATGTCCACAAACATATCCCATCATACATAATTCATTTTACATCTTTAGTATGCTGGCTTTAAGCCTATATATTAGAATTTTGTAAAATTTTTATTGAGGCAAAATACTTATTACACTCACTGTATATGCCATTTTATGTCAAATTATGGACCCATATTGAAAACTTTTTTGTGAGTGCTGCAAGATACGTCAATACGAAAATCTGACGAAAACTTTCAAAATACGAAATTTAGTACCACTTACAAAATACAATTTAATTGTAAATAGGTGTGATAATCACTTTTTCTTCTTAGGATTGAGGTAAGAAACTCTTATTATAAGTCTTCGAAAAATTACTAAGTGGTACAAAATTTGATACCATTGGTACCTTGCTGGAAATCAAAACATAGGTATGGGCATCGATCTTTGTTTGTAATTTTGCGATATGAATAGAACGGGAATCATAATATTTAATGTGGCGATTACTGATCGTATGTAAATATAGAGTTATATACACCAAGTAATGGTTAGAATGATTCTCTCTGGAGCACACAAGCAGGTGGTTACTGCAACGAAAAAAAATATTGATATGCTGACGAAATCGAATCGTCTCCTCATGTAGAAGGTTAACCGGAGTTATGAGTAGGAAATTTATGTCTAGGTCTTCTAAATCATTTCAATTTAATTCCAGTGCCCTGACCCATACATAACTATTTCCCAGGCTTCCAATGAACCTCCAAATTATATCTTCAAATGTTACTATAGGTTTCTAGTATTGTCTAACTATATTGCCCAGTAATGTAGATTAAAAAAAGATATTGGCGTAGCATCTATTAATGATCAGTAGATTAAAAAGCCATGCATTTGAATTGGAATAGTTTTTCGCATTTATTGGAAATCAATAACACATATATCCTTTATAAAGACATATTGTCAAAGTAGTTGTTACTTTTTTATATTTCTAGGCAAATTTTTGAATGCTGTAGTTAAATATAATAAATAATTGCATTGATAGCGGTTATAAGTTGCTTATATATGTGGAAGATTATGCATGCGATCAGTTTTAATATGAAAGACATTGAATAGACATTTCATAGATATATAAGAGAGAGAGAGACAAAAATGATATAGTTGAGATCAGCGTTCGAAAATAAACATTATGGTACCGTTCCTTAGTGTTCTGTACCGTACCAAGGTGGATAGGTACACTAAAATAACGTACTGTACCGGTACACAAACACTAAAAATATTTTTAGCGTTACTGTTCCGGAGCACAACGAAAATCTTAGCGTACCTGCTGCGGTACACTAAAAAATCGTAGTGTACCGACAGCGGTACACTAAAAATCGTAGTGTACCGGCAGTGGTACACTAAAAATTCGTAGTGTACCGACTGCGGTACATTAAAAATCATTGTGTTCCACTGGTCGGAACACTAAAAATCTTAGTGTTCCACTGGTCGGAACAATAAAAATCGTAGCGTTCCACTTACTTGAACTGTACTGGTAGTGTACCATACACGTCTGTTTTTTTTTGTAGGTGAAATGAGATAAAATAATAAAAAATAAAACTAAATATAACTTTATTTGCTATTACAAAAGTGAAAATGTCCATCAGAAATAGGTATTTTGGCCAGTTTTTGTGACAAAATTATTCAGCTTTGGATAAAATGTTCATTGATTTACACAACGAACATGATTTTTCCCATAATATTGGGAGATCTCCTTGTAAGATGTTAGTACGAAAACATTATTTCTTAAAACAATTATACCTGCATCCATCTATGATTCATACTTTTAGGAAATTTTAGCAAAAATATTCAAAATTTGGTGATTGTCACACAATCAACATAATAATTACCTGTTTATTCATTAAAAGAAGTGTACACATTACGCGGATATGGAAAACATATTTTTATGATTTTGGGATAAATATTACAAAACCACACACAGGTACCATATCAACAACGAATTTCATATACATATCCATTATTGGAATATTCTTCCTTTTTATGATTTTTGTACAGGTAGTCTTATGCAATACATTTTTCCGATCAGCACAATCGATTATGGAATTTTCAGTTGCGAGTTGGCATCTGATTGAATTTTCACTAGACGACCTTTTTTAGTTATAAAATATTTATTATTACTAATTTTTAATAAAATATATAAAAAATTTAAAAAGTTTTATATTTATTAAATCTATTGGAAAACAATAAAAATATAAATTGTATTCATAAAAAATAAAATATAACAAATACATCTTTTTGTGTTCCGACAAATGGAACACTACGATTTTAAGTATTCCGTCAAGTGGAACACTACGATTTTTAGTGTTCCGCCAAATGGAACACTACGATTTTTAGTGTTCCGGCCAGTGGAACACTACGATTTTTAGTGTTCCGACCGCGGTACGCTACGATTTTTTAGTGTTCCGACCGCGGTACACTACGATTTTTAGTGCTCCGACCGCGGTACACTACGATTTTTAGTGTTCCGACAGCGGTACACTACGAATTTCGTTGTGCTCCGGAACAGTAACACTAAAATATTTTTTAATGTTTGTGTACCGGAACACAAACGCTAAAATTTTTTTAGTGTTTGTGTTCCTGGTACGGTACACTACGATAGTGTACCGTTTTTTTGCGAACACTGGTTGAGATATGAGTTTCCCCGGAA